TTATTCACGTAGCTGAAGTTGCGTACCTTAGTTCGAATTAGGGGGGTAGTGTAGACCTGGCCTAAGATGCATGTACTAGCATGAAATAAGGAACAGAATGTTTGAGACCTCTCAAGGGCATTTGATGAATCTAACTTTAATTTAAAAGGACTAATAGATTATTGATTTAAGCAGGGTGACTGTGCACAAATCAATAACAGAATGCTCTGTGTCTATCTTAAATGCTAAAAATGACTATTAAAAGAAAGAATATAGTGGATTTTTTTTTTTTAAAGAAAAAACTTAAACTTTGCTCTGTAGAGTTGGAACCTGTAGCATGTTACTTGTAACATGGTTTTGCTAAGTGTCAGTGAATTCTGAAGAATGCGGGTTGGGAATGAATCCCGGATGTAATACAAATGCAACATTTTACAAATGTGGAAATCATCTTGGACAGTAAATCTTGTCCAAAATGTTCTGTTGACTAATATTCTTAGTGTTCACTTTTAAGACTCTTGACAGTTAGCTCTGTGGATAATGTCTAATATTTCTAGATGGATACAAGTTCATACGTTACATCATTTCTATGTATCTGTTGAAAAATTAGAGGTATTTGTCCGAGAAGCAGCAGAACAACTTACTGAAACAAGGAAATGTATTGCACATCTACAATAAATATGAATGATGTTGATGGTGTATCAGAGAAAACTAATGCAGATGCTTTGAAAAGATCAAGTTCACATTTTTTATCCTGCTTCACAGAGCTTTCATGTTGTTTCCCAGAAAGGAGTAACTAATGCCTCAACAGATTCAAAATAAATGTCCATCCAGAAATATTAAGGCAATAAAGTGACAAGATGTCATAATACTTAAGTGACCCCTTTTCAAAGTGGTTTACAAACATTAATATCCCATAAGGCAGATCAATAAGTGTTACTGCATTATGTCAATTGTACAGATAGAGAAACTGTAGGATTAGAACTTGCTGTCCTATGCTTAAATCATCAGTCTCTTAATGCACATTGATGATTTTCCATATCCTTCCATGACAAACTTGCATCCTGAAAATGTTACCTCTGTTGTGGAAGTAGGTGAGAGACTTCATAGCATGTTTAGCTAAAAGATAGATGTTGAATGGATAGATATTTCACGTCATTCACCATCAAAGACTACATTCTGTGCTCAGATGTGCGCATCAATAGCTCATGTTTAATTCCAAGGGCTGAATCTAGAATATGATCTAAATTCTGTTCGCCGATGCCCAAATTAATTTCCTAGTCTAGTCTAAAGGATTTGTGTTGAATTTGGCCCAGCATGTGGATCTGACACCATGGGCTTTTTGGAATATGGGATTGCAAGATTATGGAAGGGGCTGAATTTATGCATCCTATTCATTTAAAAAAATACATTTATGTTTAGGGAGACAGAGTGTGGATCTGATGGCATCTCTTAAATTTTGTGAAGAAAGCCAAACATATGCTTGTGATACACAATTTTTTTAGTAGCTGTAAAGGGATAAATAATAGAGTATATAAAAGTCAAAGGTAATGCACTAAAATGGTGTTTTTTCTTTTCTTTGTTTTTTTCTTTTGTAGCCATCGAAACTCAGAGCACCAGTTCTGAAGAACTTGTCCCAAGCCCACCTTCCCCACTTCCTCCCCCTCGTGTTTACAAGCCCTGTTTTGTCTGTCAGGACAAGTCATCTGGATATCATTATGGCGTCAGTGCCTGTGAGGGATGTAAGGTGAGTACCAAAACCCCACTGGTATTTTGTTAGAAAGCCCTGCATTTCTTTTAGAGAAGGGCTAAGCAGATTGGTTTCAGACTAGTTTGAATGCCTCCAAAGGCAGGATAGTTTGGCCTTACTCACTAAGTCAGAGTTAATTCAAGCAGGCAGACAAGTGGTTGTCATTCCTGGAGTAACCTGTCCTTTCCATCCTTACAGCAGTATATGATTGGCTGACATGAGGGTGTAATTGGAAGTACCTCTTTTTAGATGTGGTACTTTGCAGAATGATGTAAAAACACATGATGGCTCCTTCTCTTAATTCATTGTGTCCACCGATAAATTAAGTATTGCATTGGGAGGTGGGGTTCACATGATGATTTGCTGTCCTTAGTTCATCCTCTCTGTTATTCTTTTATGTAGTATACTGCCTATAGTACATTTAGAGATGTAAAGGTCGAATATGGATCTGAGCCTTCCCAAAGTTCAGCAGAATTGAGATCTTTGGTGTTGGCTCAACCCTAACACAATTAAGGGCCAGCATGTAGTTAAAATGTGAATATGGTTCCAAACTTTCCAGAAATGTATCAGTGGTCAGATCTGGGGTTTCGTTATGGACCACAGACAAAGCAGAATGGCAGCTGTAAAACTAATTTTGACAGACTACAAAGTAGAAATAAGGATGTGTTTGCCAGCTACTTTTCAACATCGTGACTGTTAGTATTTTAGTTGAATATCCATACATATTTTTACATAGACAGTTTGTGATGAATCCATGGCATCTGGGAATTGGAATACTAGAGTATATACTTGCAGAGACTGAACATGCATCAGAGAGGTTATGTGAGCTGAGCCGTGTGTGTGTGAGAGAGAGAGAGAGAGAGAGAGAGAGGATGCGTAGAACAGTTAGATAAGGGAATTGTGCAACATGATCATATGATAGCCACATTGTTTTCTAGCAATGTTAGAGGAACATATCAAAATATTTTGGGGGAAATTATGAAGAAAAAGTGTCTAAGTAGGAGTTATATAGTTTTTGGTTTTATTAGTGATTAGTACCTACTGTGCAATACCTGTTTTGGTATGTGAGAATGGTTATAGAGCAGAAGTACTATCAACATTATTGTATTTTCAAATCTGGTTCTGTAGTCCACACAGGTATGCTTCCACCCCCTACACAAGTGCATGTACATATGCTCGTGTACACACAAAGCTAAGTTTAGTGATGTTTTTTTAGGCAAATATTCTAGTCAAGTCCTGCCAGATATTAATAGCCAGTGTGGAAAGAGCAACAGCATGCTGGCACGGACAGTGGTGAGTGCTACTGTACAAAAGGTTTGAGTTTAGGGTTGATGTTTGTTGCACAGAACAGTCTCAGTCTTGCAGCATGATTATAGTGTCCCACAAATTCAGTGGGATGACCTGAATGCAGGACAAGGAATGATATTACTATGGGATAACACACCTTGAGATCATTCTCTTCTATACTAACACACACTAATTATGGTATCTGGAGGTAACACACTATAAAAATGGTAAAATATTTTAACCGTCATTGAAAAACATCTGAATTTATTAAAAGAAATGAATAAAATCTATATTTTGGTATATTCATATTTTGTTTTGATTTTGTTATTAGTCAGCCATACATTTAGGCCCCAGTTCTGCAGCTTCTTGCATGCAGGGGGTCTGCTGCACCCATATGGACCCTCTCTCCCCACTCCGGTTGGTTTGCACTATTGTGATTTTGATTTCAGTGGTGCGCTGACTTCTTCAGGAAAGAAGTTACAGGACCTCAGCCTGATACTTTTGCTCCATAAATATACCATAAATAGGTATTTGAAAGTTAGCATATAAGATCATCTGTGTTTTAAATTCTCCCTCCAGTGTTGAATTTTTGCTTGAATTATCTGGCCATGTTCTCAAGTACTGTCGTGCTGTGGTTGTTGCCATGCTGCTGAAATTTCCCTTTCTGTTTGAAAAAGTACAATAGAAACTTGTAAATCTCACTTCACTTAATTGCGCATCTGCTCTTCCTGAGATGCGCACACAAAAATGATTGTATCCCTCCCCTTTTTCAGCAAGAATGTAATTGCAGAATGCAAGAGAGAGGTCGCATGTTTCAAAGACTTCAGTATTTTTGAAAAATATGTTCAAGTGTACTTATGACATACCAGGGTACAATCCAGACCAATGAGTGGTTGTGTCACTTCTGCCCTGTAACCTGCGGTATCTCCCTTTGTTTTCCTTTACAAGGTTTTGCGGCTTTAGCCTCCAATCTGAACTGCTCACAAACAGCCTCCAGCATGTTAGTCACTCCCAGCTATGTCTGTGTGCTGCAGCCACACATTGGCTCTTACCAACCTTACAGATTACCAAAGAGTGTCCACAACACACTCCCAGTCCCAGATCCTCCCACCCCCACCCACAAACATGTGTCCTGTACTGCCCAGCCCTCTGCTGGCCAGTACACATGTATTGAATCGGTTATTCCTTTAAGGGAATAATAGGCACACAACTTGCTGCCCCAAATGGAGTTACCCAGACACTTCAACTTAAACACACTGGATTAGATAAAACAGTAAAACAAGTTTATTAACTGCAAAGAGAGAGATTTTAAGTGAGTACAAGTAATGAGGCATAAAAGTCATGACTGGTTACAAGAGAAATAAAGATAAAATGCAATTGGTGCCTCACCTAACAAACTATATTAGATTCAAGGCAAAGTTTTCTCACCTCATATTTTCAGCAGTCTGATTGACCAAACTCTTAAGTTCAGGACCCCTCCCCCAGAGTCCAATGGCTGCTTCCTTTGTCTCTTCTGGTGCATTGAATGCAGTGGGGAGAGAGAGAGAGGAGGGGGGGTGCCTTGGGGTCTGCCCCTTCTTTTTATAGTCATGTCCCTCCTTAATGCTGCTATGTGCATTTTGCCATGATGATATTGATCAGCAAATAATGAGTTTTTAAATGATACCTCACAAGACAGGTCTTGTACAAAAATTATTACAGTAGTGTGTAGGGTGTGAATACGGGTATATTCTGTCACAATACTATATAACTTTTACTGGAACATTCCAAAGAATTATCATATATAATTCAAACAAAATCACACTTGTCAAAATATATGAAAAAGTCTATTTTGTAATACATTTTTTTTACTTGCTAATTTGAAAAATTGGTAATTCTGCACTTAGATACTATATTGACAGAGGCTGTTAGAAGTAAATCTAAGATAAATATATAGAGACGATAATGGGTGTGTCGGTGAGAATTCATAAGATTCTAGTATAGTGGTTTGAATCTTTGCAGCTGTCAGTACTTGTGCACAATGTTCAGTGATTAGAGATTGCCTGATGAGCTTTCTAGTCAACACAAAATTATCTCTTACTGACAGCGGGCAGTTACTTCGTAAAGACAGGATACTGATATAGTCAAAAGTACCTAGAACCCTACAGCCAACCTTTGAGACTTCTAGACTGAAAACACTGATCTTCCCTCTTTCCAAAAATTTTATCTTCTCCTCTTCACTCCCCTTTGGTGCCATTCTGTCCATTCTTCTATTCCTCAACCTTTGCTCTCCCCTTACACCCACTTGTTCCATTACTGCTCTTGGACCACTGAGCATGTCCAGAGAAAGTCTGCCTAATCCCTCCTTTCTGCCTCATCAGCTTTACGTTCTCACTCTAATCACTTTTAGGCCACCAGTTACAGTCAGTTCTTCTCCACCTTCAGTTCCCTCCATAAACCCTTTCTCTAACCTTACGGTCTTCTGCATCCCCCTTCACTCAGAATATAGCCAGCTTCTTTGCAAAATAAAAAAGCATCCTAATCCAGCATGACTTCTCCCTTTCCTTCCCTTTCCTCATTCACCCCTATTTCCAGCTCCCCCTCCTTCACTTCTGTTTCTGACTGAGTCTCATTTCTTCTCTTTGCTGCTAAGCCTTCACTTTGTTCCCTTAATCTCATGCTTTCTCACCTCCTGCCATCCATGCCTCCCTTTCTTTTATCTTCGTCCTTTCTTTCTCCTCTGGCTCATTTCCCTCTGCCTTCAAGTACAAGATACTCCCGTCTCCCCATCTTGTAAAAAAACATTCCCCAGGATCCATTGTGTCTAATTACGGTTCTGTCCCCTTTCTTCTCTGTTTTTTTTTGTCTCCAAAATAACAGAGCATGCTACTTACTTTCCCTTGACTTCCTTTCTTCTCATTTTCCCCTTGCTCTCCTCTTAGTTGGCTCCTCGCTCTCTATTCCACTGTAACTGCCATCACAAAGGTCATTTATGATTTCTTACCACCCCGATGTAATTTTTTGTCCTTAACAACTTGGTTTATATACTGCCTTTCACACTGTTGATCACTGTCCTTTAAAACAAACAAAAATAAGTATTTTTTCACACACTACACAGTCAACCTGTGGAACTCCTTGCCAGAGGATGTTGTGGAGGCCAAGACTATAACAGGGTTCAAAAAAGAGCTAGATAAGTTCACGGAGGATAGGTCCATCAATGCCCATTTGCCAGAATGGGCAGGGATGGTGTCCCTAGCCTCTGTTTGCCAGAAGCTGGGAATGGGCAACAGGGAATGGATCACGTGATGATTACCTGTTCTGTTCATTCCCTCTGGGGAATCTGGCATTGGCCACTGTTGGAAGACAGGATACTGGGCTAAATGGACCTTTGATCTGACCCAATATGGGCGTTCTTATGTTCCTTTGCCATTTTCTCTGCCTTTGCTTCCGTGAGTATATCCTCCTATCTTGCTGACTGCTTGTTCAGTGTCTACGTAAATAGCTCCTCCTGTCTCTACCTCTCCCAACTGTTACCACCCAAAGTTCCAGTCTTGGTGCTCTCCTCTTCCCTCATCTCTAGATAATCTTATCTCCTCCAATGGTCAATTGCTGCCTTCCCATGAATGATTCCCAAATATACCCTTCTTACCCTTCTGTCCTTGTTTAAATGCCTCTGACATGTCCTCTTACTTGTCTAACTGCCAGCTCAGACTCAGTCTCTTGAAAACGGA